AATTAACAGGTGGATGCTGAGCAGAAAGCGCACAAACACAAACTTACATGTTTAAGTTCTTGCATGCGGTCCTTCATGATTCCCCGTTTCGCCGGTAAATTGTTGTTATTCCCTCAGTTCCCGTTGTCTTCTGGGTGTATGTGACGGTGATGGAGCGGCGGGGCGGAGACCGATGGGTAGACGTGAGCTCGACCGAGAGGAAGAGGCGCGTCTGGCGGCAGCAAGGGGCGGTGATTTTCCCCCCTTCGGTTCGGATGCTGGGATGGTGAGACCACTTTACAGAGCTGGGTGACGCGCAATAAAGGTGAGGCGAGGCCTTCCGCCGTTAACCCATTACACACCCACAACTTCCTCAATCCGGACTAATTGACTTTTTTTTTTCTTCTTTATTCTTTTCGGAGCTCTTTTATTATTTTGGCTGAATATTTAGTCCGAGTGCATGAAGGTTAGTTTGACACAAAAACCAAAAGCACTGGGAGCCTGCCTGAGGGGGGAAATTGTGTTGACTCTGGTTAACAATTGAGCAGGTTCAGAGATAACGCCCAGGTACTTTGCATTGTGCCAAAGCGAACAGCGACCCCTGTCGAAACCGACGGATATGGCAACAGTACAAGGAGCTCGAAATGACCCAGAAATATTGCCTTCAATAATATATTTTTGTATTTAAAGCTCCATTTGAGAAAATGAGAAAATTTAGTCAATATTTGTTGTTTCCTGAGCAAATTAAAATAAAGACAAGGTCCAAAGAAGCATTAAAAATAACTCTGTATTAGTAGAAATTTTGACATCATCACAATCTTCCAGCTGTTTTTTCTTAAGCATTTATTCAACTCTTGGGTGGGCTGGAGTCTGTGTCACTGGTCCTTTTCTAGGCACAGAATCCCTGCAGTTACCATACACCACTCAAAATGGTGCCAACATGGTGCAGCAATTTATTGAAATGTGAAATACTGTATATAAAGAAAAACAGAGCTTGTACAATTTTAACAAACTTCAAAGTCAGTAGTTAGTACGACGACGGTTATTCTTCAACACAGCCTGAACTCTCGTAGGCAGCTTTCTTGTTATTTCTTTAAGGAGTGTTCAGGAATAGTTCTCCAAGCTTCTCAAATCACATTCAAAGCTCTTCTTTTGGATGCTGGCTGCCTTTTTGTTTTGTTCTCTGTCAAGTTGTTCCCACACTGCTTCAGTAAAATTGAGGTCTGGGCTCTGGGGAGGCCAATCCATGACCGATAAGTGTTCCATTTGTGCCAAGCAGAGGCTTTCCATATGATATTGCGCGCTGGATCAAAATCTCACAGTACATTTCTGCGTTCATAATTTCATCAATTTTGACAAAATTGCCAACACCACGTTTTCTAGACTGCTGTAGACATTCACTGTTGTGCATCTCTCCTGACCTCCTCCGTACATACTGATGACTGTCCTTGTGTAATTTGGCAAACCACACCCTTTTCTCTCCATTTCCTTACCTAAGAACAACTTCTCAACAGCCACCTTTCCACTGAGCTTCTGATGAAGCTTCAGCAAACAGGAGCTCCTGTGTTAGATCCTAGCCCATATTTCATAAGGACATGACTGTCAGATGGTGCTGCAGATAGTTTTTTTTTTAAGCATAGATCTTTTTACGGGGAATCTACTTGCCTCTCAAACTGTTATCTTTGATGTTCTTCATAGATTCAGCTAAAGAAATGGGAACACATTATAAGTTTGGGGGTTTTTTTGCAATGGGTTGCTATTAACAAATATAAAATTGGTTCTTTGCCAACTTGTCTGTTATGTGCAGACAAAACACTCAGTCATCTCTTGAATTAGATGCCTTCCTATGCTTGAATGATTCATACGTCAGCGTTTAAAAAACAAAAACAAAAAAAACATTCCTCTGAAAGTGGTCAGATAAAAAGGGCTGGACTCAAAAAGCTAAACAAAAGCAAAGAAATGCCAAGTGTCCAAAAAAACCCAAAAGACCATCAGAAAGCCTGGAGAACAGAAGACAGCTTCAAAACCTCAAGAAAGTCTGGCTCCTTGGAAGCAAAATATGCAAAAATGAGGGGTGACTTAAAACTTGTACACAAAAATGTATTTTTTCTTAGCTGCAAGAAACAATAATTTTCCTCCATTACAAACGAGGCTAGTTCAGTTTGTCCCTTGTAAACGCAGCTCCTGAAGTTTCTTTCTTTTTAACCTGATTAACTACCATTTTCTTCATTATTAGGTCATTTTTTATTATCATAGCTCCCTAATAAAGGTAAATTCATTTTGTGGCTCTTTCTTTAATTTCTTTTATGAGCTAAAAATAAATAATTAAACAACCTCAATACATTTCTTGTTTAGTTTTAATTGAGAAACATTGCAGATAATACAATAAACCACAAAGATATGGCCACTTATAAAATTGCTTTGATTTATTTATACTGTTTTGCTTTTTCTTCACTGTGGTTTTTGCCACCAGCTGTGAGTACACACACATTTGTTCATGTACTTCCAGCCAAACTGAACATTGTGAGTGCAATCTCACCGCTTTTAGCGAGGAACACTCGACCAAATATAAAAACGACTGGCTGTAATTGCATTTTGCTCTTGCATCACATCCACTTGAATTAAAGAGCTGAAAAATAAATCAGAGTCCAAACACTCTGCAGTTCCAGAGGTGGTTCTGTGTGTCTGTGTGTTACAGAGGAGGGCTAATGAAGGCGCAGCTGCATGAGTCAGAGCTAGAAATGAGGTCTTCGCTTACGTCCAGTGTATTTAGTGTCGGCTCGAACCTCCCTGCAGGTTAACAAACACACAGCAAAGACAGAGAGAAGCCAGTTAAGGTGCATTTTAAAATACAGGCAATAAAAGGTAAAATCCAGTTAAAGCTAAACTAAGTACATTACGACATTCAGAGCTTTAAGCTCGGTATAATGAATTAAATTTTTCGTCCTCTAAGAGTTGAAAATACACTCATGCACACACCGTCCCTGTCTCCTCCTCCTCTCCTTCTTTTCCAGGATCCAGTCTCGTCCCTTCTTCAGCGATTTTCCCTTCATGTTTCTGAAACGACATCTTCACAGCGACAAATGAATATTAATACTTAGCATTAGATGCAAAACATCTCACATATCCAGTCACTTGAGTCTTACTCTGTAAAAGGGAGGAAAACCTGCCTGACAGGGTTTTAAGTCAAGCAGGACAACGACCCTTTCTGTCATTTCTTTTGGTCTTTTGGCTTCATAAAGGCAGGTAAGACTGAACCTGCACTCATCAAAGCTGAGACCAGTTCACTATCCTAATGCAAAGTAATAAATGGGATGATTTATACGGCTGCGTTATCACAAATCATAAGCAAATCACCAATTATCCTGATGAGAATAAATTACAGCTGAAGCAAACAGTCGCCAACATCATTCATCTTTACTGATCATATTGTTTGCTGCAGAAAAAAAAAAAAGAGATGTAGCAAATCCTCTGAAAGCTACTACCACACAGACGGGAAATAAAAACAAATGTAAGGTTGTTAAAATCCCATACATTATTTCCTTCGGCAGTCAACAATGAACAATCAGCAGAAAAACACATTAGAAAACACTCAAGTGGCCTTGGGCTGAAACACATTGCATATGTCTACATGAATCACAAACACACAAAAAGCTGTATAAACACCAGAGAGTGAAATAAACTGAATTAACAGCTGTTATGTCAACCCATGCAAACAGCTTTATGAAACAGTCTAATTGCTCAGGGTTGGCAGCATCGGTCTGCAGTGGACGTCTTTACCTTTGTCCTGAGTACTGAACCTGGTTTGGAACAGCTTTGTCTGACGTTTCTGATCCCAGTCCCTGAAATACAGGAAAAAGACATTAACATGATCATCATCTGGCTGAAACAAAAGGCAGCAACCCACAACATCCACAGCTTTTCTTACTTTGGGAAGAACTCCTGCGACGCCGGCAAACAGACACAGGAAGAACCTGGAGATAAACAGGAAGCGTGTGTGTGTAAGAAAACGTAAACCAGCCAAACAGCTCCAATATGTAATCATTCATCATGCAGCCAAGTCCCCCTGTTCTAATTAGCCCTGTGTTGTGAGCACCCTGCTACCAATTTCACAGCCTATTAGGAAGGAATCGGTTGCAGACGTCAAAATAAAAAGGAGCCACTTCCAGTAAATACTGACTTTTTTGCTTTTGCGCTGTTGGGGTAATCCACCACCATGCCTCCACTGAAACCTGCCTTCATGGCCTGTGTTGTTATGAGCTCGAGCTTTGGAGAGAAAAGAGGAAGGTGGTAAGTGAGTGAAGAGAAACCTTCAGGGTGTTCCTCTGCTGACACAGAGCCTTCATGGAAACACAAAGGTTTTTTTTCCCCCTTTTACCTGTTCTGAGTTCTCGGGATAAAGCTGAAAAACTGCACGTGAGCCTCTTGACTGAAAGAGCAAAAAGAGGTTATAAAATGTTTTCATCAAAAATAAGCTTCCTGGATATTTGAGTGATAAAAATCTTACCAGACATGAGTACAGAGTGCTAAAGAAGGTGTAGAGTCTCTTTGGAGGACTGTGCGTCCTTTTGTCTGCATTACAAAGCCACTGCAGGGCAGAGATACTGAAACAGAAAAAGAGTTTTTTAAAGGGGTCATAAATCATTCAAAATTCCCAGGAAGAGCCCGACTTATAAGCATCCTTTGTTCTTTACCTGACGCAACCATCAAAGGTACCAGGTCTGAACGGCATCCCGTGGCCCATGTCTCCCAGTACGAGGTCTCCTTCCACCTCTCTGTCCAGTGCAACATCTGTCACACAGAAGAGAATTACATTTGTTTAGAGTTTATGCATTTCTTGTGGTGACATAAATGCACAAAAAACAACCAACCTTAACCACATATTGGATCTGTTATCATGCTTAAAATACATTTTAGGCTTAAATTTCATTAGCCAATCACATGGCAGCAACTCGATGTATTTAGGCATGTAGACCTGGTCAAGAAGATCAGCTGAAGTTCACTAAGCATTAGAATTGGGATGAAAGGTGATTTAAGTGACTTGAATTAAGCATTTTTGTTGATGTCATCAGGGCTGGTGTGAGTATTCAGAAACTGCTGGGATTTTCCCCGAACAACCACCTCTATTGTTTGCAAAGAAAGGTCAGAAAAATAAAATATCCAATAAGGAGCAGTTCAGAGTTAAAACATCCTGTTGAAGACAGAGGAGAATGGCTTGACTGCTTGGACTTGATAGAAAAGCAACAGGAAATCAAGAGTATTTTGAAACGCACAAAGGTCTGAGCTGTAGCAGATGGGCTACACCAGCAGACCACCACACCTGGTGCCATACCTGTCTGCTAAGAACAGAAAACTGAGGCTAAAATGTACATAAGCTCACCAAAACTGGATTTAAGAAACATTGCCTGGTGATGATGAATCTCAATTTCTGCTGCAGCACTTGGATGGCACGGTCAGAATTTGGTCTAAATGACATTAAAGCGTGGATCCCTCCTGCCTTGTATTTACAGTTTAGAC